CGGGAGGGGAGGAGAAGGCACCGGCCACCCCCGCCGGCGAAGCAGGACCTGCCGGTGGTCCCCGCTCCAGCCCCAATCGCCACCGCCCCGCCACAGCCTCCCCGTGAACTTTTGAACTAGGCGAAATGTCACCGCAGCAGGAGCCGGGGGGGACACGCCGGGAGACCCCGGCCCTCGCCGGGGAGAGGCACGGGGCTGCCGAGGCAGGCGGGCTCCGTCCTTCCCGGCTTGGCCTGATTTTTAACCCGTGTGGTTCGCAGCCCGGTGTTTTGCTGCAAGGAGTTAACTAGGTGGGATCTAGGAGTCAGGGATGGTAGCTGCTCTCCTATCGCACGCACCGCCAGCCTACTGCCTCCTTCCATTTTAGTCTCATAGATCCATCAGAAATGCTGCTTCAACTGTGGTTTCTGCCACTAAAAAGCCTGAAATTGTTCTTGTTATCTTTGCCACGGGCTAACTCCCCGATTTCCTGGTCATCTATCACCTCTGACATTATCCATGGGTCAGTTGTTCACACTGAGGTGATGAACATCTACACTCGCCTAAAAGACACAAGAGGATTTAACAGGAGAATCCAAAAACTGGTCCCACAACCACTCTCTAAAAAGTCTCTGCAAACGCGTTAAAAAAAATTACTCACCGTAACAAATGGGTATAGGTCACAAGCATTTAAAGCCAGACCAGAGGCCGTAGCTGTAAAATGGCCAAAAATCAGTCATACATCGGGTGTTTAATGGGCTATAATCCTGCTCAAATCAGCAGCACCATCAGCAAACGCTTTAGAAGTCACTTATTTTAACGCTTCTCGTATCAATGTGACATAATACAAATGAGTGTAATACTGAGTTCCTTAGGACTCCAATTTCAGCAACATCAATCACGCCAATCTTCCCTGGCGTGTTCACACGTCTCCACGAGATGCAGCACAGGGCAGGAAACTGCATCTGCTATTTCAGTTTGAGCTGCAGCTCATCGCTCCCCATCGCCGTGAACCAGCAAAGCAGTTGTCGAGTAACAAGAGCTGTTGGGCCCAATCCAACAAACCCTTTCACAAGTAGACCTTCAGTCACATGGTAGACTTCATCGATATAGTCCCAATCCTCGAACAACAGAAAAGTGAAATGCCTGTTCCTCTCTACTGATACTCCCTTGCTCAAGGGATTCTTGAAGATAAAAGATTTTCACGCCTGCATCTTTTTTACACCAAAAAAATCATTATCTTTCCCCCTTTCTCCCAAAAAGATTTCTTAACCATCAGCCTATGTGAACACTGTCTGTTCCTATCTCACGGAAAAGAATAATTTCACAGGATTTCTTCCAACATCCTATGGGAAAACAGGCATGAAAATTTTCCTCCATGCTGGCCTGTGTGTCTATAAAATATTGTGGAAAATAGTACTACATGCCTTTCTTTAGCAATCTAAATATTTGGAATAAGATTTTGTTTTTCCATTAGGGAAGGAATTATTATTAAAAGCTGTAAGAGGGTCAGACTTATTGCCGACAATTTGAAATCAGTGGGAAGCCTCCCAATAGCTTCAAGAGGGTTTGGATCAGGCCTTAAATTCAGGCATTCCACCCAACAGGCAGAAACCATTTTGAGATCCACTCCAGGAATGACTGCATTGGTGCCTTAACTTTAATAGCTGAAGAGCTGTCTCTGTGAAAGTAATTATTTCCATTAATTACCTAGTAAATATCTCCAATAGCTACTTTCAGTTGGCTGGTATTTTCCACCTATTGTGATCCCAGATGTAATCCTCAGCTGGAGCTTACCGCTTACTTAAAGTGGACTTGAGCTGTGCTTTCTCACTTCTACTACAGATATAAACACTCTTCAGACGGTAGGTACCTTTAATGACAGGCATCTCCAAATCCAGCAAGAAAACCAGTCATTCTTATTGTGGCGTACAACAAAAAACATTGTGTATAACAACTCCTATTTTCTGGTGGCCTTCTATAGCACCAGCATTTATTCTGTGGAGTCGCGCCTTCCAGTATTTTTATTGTAAGGTACACCACACATTGTTTGAATATCGTGTGTGACCGTTTTGCCCTCAAATTTGGAACTGACACTCAACCAGTTTGAAGCATCAGGCCTGAGCTTTACTAAACAAACACACTCAAATGCAGCATATCATTGGCAAAACATACCACCGACCAACACGGACGAGATTAAGTAGTAAAAGAGGCTACAACACAGAGCTCCAACCTTGCAAGCAAATGGGCTTGCTACTGAGCCAAAGAGATTTATCTGAACAAACGAAAACAAAAAACAATGCTTGTAAGATTAAGTATATGCAGGTTTGTGTATTTCATGCTAACACGAGACAGACTCACAAAGTACAGGACTGTCAAATGCTGCCTAAAAATGTATTGGCATGAATATGCCAATGGCCACATTACTCACAGACGGTGGCTGCTGGAAGCTGCTCAACTCTTTGAAATGTTAAAAGAAGGCTCAGCTGAGAGAGACAGGCATGCAGCACGCAGAGGAAGTCAAAGTTGCATGATAAACATAGCAATTGCGTATTCATACAAATAACAGCTGTAGGTGATCTAAA